GGACTGGGCCTGTGGTGTCACCATTTATACAAAAACCAAAAACAAACAAACAAAAAAGCTGGCAGGCCCCCCCCCCGAATTTCAGTGCACAGTATTTTGCATCATCTGCACATGTGATTTTTTTGTCCTTATTGGCATTTCACAGATGGTTTGAGAGGACAGGCCACATGTCACACTGGAGCATATGAAAAAGCTAGCTCAGCTTGGAAAGTCACATTAGGTTTGGGTCCCCCCCCCCCCGAATTTCAGTGCACAGTATTTTGCATCATCTGCACATGTGATTTTTTTGTCCTTATCATGGCATTTCAGATGGTTTGAGAGGACAGGCCACATGTCACACTGGAGCATATGAAAAAGCTAGCTCAGCTTGGAAAGTCACATTTGGCAATTTTCAGCTGGAAGTGAGATTTATCTGCACAGAGAGAGGAAGAAATAAGCTTCACACTCCCACTCCAGTCAGGCTGGCTTTCCAATGCCAGGACACTGAGCAGAACTGACAGAAAGTATAGGCATCCCCCATTTTAGGGTGGATTTACCTCAGGGCAATGAAGCTTGGGGGCCCTGTAGCCTTTCACCACTAATGGTGGTCAGCTACAGTGCATATTGCCAGGCACGTTGCGTGTCAGCAGCCACACAGCTGTGCCCGTCCCCCTCTCCCAACCAGCAATGGCATATCTACATTACACTTGGGGGAGTTGAGTCTAATAGACAAGGACAGAAGCAATATTTCACTGCATTTCTTTCTTTGAAGTCATCTTGCTTCTGACCTTAGATTGGGAGTATTTTTCACAGCTTTATACCCAGTCTGGAATATGAAGGAAAACATACTGTTCTCCGACTTGTAACAGAGCCTGTGGAAGTTTTACTCAGAGAGTTAAGTTCATATTCACAGAAACACAGAAACTACCTGCACTGGGATAGCCCACAACAGGACCAACGACGTACAGGATGTTTACCATAGGAAAGTAAGTGCAAAGTGTTAGTGAGATCAGATTGGACCAGAGATTTCTATGAAGACATGGGGTTGCTTACGCTGTTCTTTCCCTAGACCTCCCTGCTTTCAGTTTCCTATGCTCCCTATATGCCACTCCAGTAGACAACCTTACTGGCATCTGGATCTCATTCACGGAGTCAACATTTCTAAAGGATCCCTTGTAACCTTGGGCATTTCTGCCAGTGTCACTGCACCGGTCTCTAATGAAAAACCCCACAGTAATATAGTATATGCCACAGGCCAAAATACAAAAGTTTGACGTTAAAAAGAGCAACACCCCTAAGGCCTTTCCCCAAATCCTGGGGAAAGGATATGAACTGAAGAACTAAATACACAGTATGGCTCATCAACTAAGCAGAGGAATTTCCTCTTACTTCCTACACTTTTCCATACTTGGCCATACCCATTCATAAAAGATCTGGTTGAAGTCATCCTTCTCTGCAAGTAGGACATGGAAAAAGGCCTTATGCAATTCAGCTATACTAAAAAAAAAAATCAGGGGAATTAATCTTAATCCATGTATGCACCACCTTGTCCTGAGGAGCACAGGGTCTAAGATGGAGTGATTTTGCTGCAAATTTGTTTTGCCATCTGTCTGCCTTAATGAGCAAAAGGCATAACTCAGAAGTTCCTGGAGCAAAAAAATCATAATCAAACTATAATTGGCATAGAGAAAACAGAGACACTGCTGTCACTGTGTCTTCTAAATTAGGGTGCATGTTTTGTGGTGTCAGCACACTGCAACAGGATTTCATTCCCCTCTGCTACTTTAATTGCAGTAACTCTTTTTTTCCCCTCACAGTTGAATTTCCCCAAACCGCAGCTCCTCTGTAAAGGAGCTGTGCAGCTCCACCTTTCTTAAGCTCTTCCACACAATTACACTCACATCCAAGCCTCATTGTTTGCCTCCACCAAGTGTTCTAAACATGAGGAGATTCCTTCCCCCTGACCCTTATGTTTTGCAGGTAAAACAGACTACAGGAAGTCCAAAGAGAAGGGAGACTATCTGAGTCCTTAAATCTATATTCAATTTTATTTACCCTTTTTTTAACTCACTGAGAGTCAGAATGTAAGGGGATGCGAACTGTGAAAATCAAGAGACAGTATAATGGAGGGGAAGAAGAACAAAAAAGGAAAAACGTATTCTTACTTTGAGCAGGTTAAGTCTGTCATACTGGAAAAAGAAACCATAAGCATTAGAACTGAAAAGAGAAAATAAATAAGTAACAGAGGAATGGACTTGCACACAGAAGTGGAAAAGATGTCACTGATTTACGGAGATGATGCTATAGGAGCAGATACCAGAGTTCATAGTTATATGGTGGCTGTAACCAGGAAGAACTTAGGAGAACTTGAGGAAAGGTGAAAAATGGGGTATTTTCTCTGAACCTTTAACTAATATAGTGTTGCCTCTAAATCTTCATGGGTTAACGATCTCATATTTGCATATACTGCTATGGAAGATTACAGCTTTACAGTGCAGATGGGAAGCAGTGGATCACGCATACGAAGTTCAGCCTGCTAACTTGATGCCAACAGAAGTTTCCACCTTTTAGCATTACTGGGAGCAGGATCACAACTCACTCCTACATACTGCTGCTTCCAGGGGAACGGAAACCTTTTGCCAAGTGAATGACATGCCATAGAGCTCTAGAAGTATCCCTAAGTCTATTTTACAACTGGGGAAACAGAGGCACAGAACCAGGGTGAGAGCAGAGCTTGGAACGGATTCCAGAGCCCTTTCTCCTGACCTGTGTACTTCCAAAATCTATGCTATTCACCTGGCTTCTAAATGCCCATGGTCAAATAACTCACAGAAATTGATGAAATTTATTCCCAAATCCCTCATTCCAGTCCAAAACAACCAGAATTTCATGACCTACTACCTAAAGGGGGATTATACTACCCAATGGGAGGGGCAAATGAGAAGACACAGCCAAACCCTTCTCATAATTGCACACTGAAAGGACAAGGTGCAACAGTCATAAGCTGCAGTAAGGGAAATTCTATTCAGATAGAAGGAAAAAGCCTGATCACAGCAAGAGTGGTTAAGCACTGGAGCAGGGGCCCGACAAGGCTGTGGGATCTCCAGTCTTCGAGGTTTGCAAAATGTGCCTGGCCAAGACTTTAGACCAACCTGATCTAACCACATCTGCTCTGCTTTGAGCAGGGGCTAGGACTAGAGACCTTCTGAGAGCCCTTCCGACCTAAACTGTTCTACAATCTCCAGGGCCTACATCAAAATTCATGTTTTCCCCTAACCTGATACTTATCCTCAGCATTCATTATTAGCTATAGAGAGTGGGAAGAATCTGAAGGATTTGCAATGGAGAGGAAATCACTTTTATCCTTGGGCAAGAGCAAAAGAGTTAAAAATACGTATTTCATTGTTGGCTGCTAGCAAAAAGGGGGTTTTGCTGAGTTCAGAAAGCTGTTCAAGAAGCAGCGGTGTTTGCCAGTAAAAGCCTAAGGCTGATGCAGGCCTATAGGTGGTTTGGTCCATGCCACACTGGTGGACAGCATGGAAAAGCAAGCTCCAGAAAAGATTTCCTACAGATATAATCCAGTGCTTAAAAACTCCTGGTGAAGCGCTCCCTCTAATGGCAACACTGCAGCATGACAATTAACACAACAGACAAAATAGGGCAAGGGACTTCAAGCAGATCTGTCAGCAATTGTATAAACACAGCATCAAACTCATGGGCTCAAGCTGTTTCATTTCATTAGTGAGACAGGCTGGAAAATCAGACCATTCTTCTTGCAGAAGAGGGGTGGGGAGAAAAGAGGCTGAGAATGGAGATTTTAAAATATTTGTCCTTAAGTTCTTTGTTCCTAACCTCTCCCTGTCTTGAACAGATACCATCATCGTCTGTCTGGGAAGAATCGGGGGGTTTATTACGCCTGAGATTCCTCACTTGTACCAGAGAAAGCCGCCTTGTGGAGCACAGAAAAGAGATTCAGCCTTCACGCTACTTTAGGCTCACGCTGTGCAGACCGTGGGTGAACAGGGCAGGAGGCTCTGACGCAGGCTGGCAGAGGTCATGCCTGGGATCCCCTTCCCTCTGTGCATTGGCTTCCTCGCACTGGAACTCATCTGAGGTCCACTTCCCTCTTGTTTCTCTAATTGTCTTAAAGTTGCTGGTTTTTTTCTCTCAGAAAAGCAAGGGGCTGGCTGCAAGCACATCACAGTACCACTACACATACATTTTACACATCGCTCTCTACCAATGTTCTTCCCACTAGTCCCTCTCCTAACAAACCTCTCCATAGCTTAGGCAAAAGCACCTCCAGCCTACCATAGCCTAGCCATGACCTGTCCTGACCCCCACACCTCTACTCACCATCAATCCTTTCAGGACTCTCTGCTACTCCAGACCTGCATTTTCCATAGAACTTCTTTCACACCTCACTTGAGACTTTAGTCCCACAGTCCTCCTTTGTAGTTATCCAAGCTACAGTTACCAAGCACAAGACAATCTGTCTAAAAAAAGACATAAAGAAGCTTCCAGCAGACACCAGCAATCATGCAAGGTCAGGCTGGTTACAAGAGGCATTATGACCAAGGAAAAACAGTAAGCCAGCACTGTAGACTTCACTGCTCTCTGAGAACTTTCCTAGAATGGAATCTAAGGCATCAACTGGGGAAACGCCAAGGCATTGATTTCGTAGATTATGAAGCCATCCAAGCCATTCTGGTTTTAACTTTACTTGTATACATGTGGAAATGCCAACAGCCTGACACTTTGTCCAACAGGCATCTCATCTGCGTTTCTGATTTTTACACTCTTCTGAGGGTAGCATAGAGACGTGAGATCAAATCTCAAATGAGCTTATCTCCAATCCAAGCACCCACAGAGGGATCTTCTACTTACTACCTTTCAGAGCGAGCCCATGAATTCTCACAATTCATTTGGGACAGGTCTGTTCTAACAGGTTTAAGCTGGGTTCATCTGAAATCACTGATCTTTAATATTTACATCACACAGGAAAGCAGGGCAGTAAGCTGAGATCACTGGCCACAAAACTACTATTCATCATAAAAAGCAGGCAAGAAGTTATGGAGATGAACTCTTGTTTCTGACAGGCATAAAGTAAGAAGAGAGGAAAGAGAAGGGATTATGGTACCATTCAGCCTACCAAAGCCAGCAGATTTCTCCCTGGCAAAGACAGCAGCTCACTTCAAGGGAGAGGGAAAGTAAACCTTAAAACAAAGGCTAAAATTAGTTGGAAGTAATTGAAGGAGTGTGATGAATAGGCCAGTTCTCACACCATGTGAGCAAATATTAATGAGATCCCAGTGATATAAGTGAAACCAGCTTCCCAGCTACAGGCATTGGGCTGAGCTCTTGCTGACATTCTCACAGCCGCACCAGGAGAATGCCTTACTGGGGTCACCGCTCAGTACCACGGGGAGGGTTTCTGAGTGATGAGACAATTCTACAGTGGGGGACAGGAGAGAAAAAAGAAGGCTTACTTTGGAGAGGCGCTTGTGTGACTTAATCGGAGAGAAAGCATGCAGGAATGAAAAGAGAGAAATTAAGGGAAGAAGAAAAAATTACCTTGCAAATCAAGAGAAGGAAAACCCACAAACCCAACAGAAAGCTTTATATCCCCCCCTTCCTTGTGAAAAGCACCATGAATTAAAGTCAAGCTTTAGTAGTCACCACGTTGGTAAAAATCACACTCCCATGGCCTTAAATCCCACTTTATGGGCCAGGGCAATGCAACTCATCTCTGTAATTCCCCCTTACCAAGGATGACATTTCCCTGACAGAGCATCCCCCAGTGTGGCTATAAACATAGCGTGCCCTGCATCCTGCCAGCCTCCCAGCTGCATGGCTTTCTTTCGGGCAAGACTGCTGGCACCATAATGCATGAGGGTATCATCCGGTCCTGCTGCCCTGGGGCGGTGTTTGTAGGTTACTTGTGTGCACAGGAAGCAAGTCTGACCTCAAGGGCAACCTTGAGACAGGTCTCAAATGATTAATCTTGAAAAAAACGTTCGCCCCTTCTTTTGAACTCACATACTCCCCCGTTAGTGGTGAGAGATCAGTTCAGCCCAGTGAACGTGGCCCAGCGAATGTCATTTCCTCTGCTGACAGTGACCACAAAGGGGAGTGGATGAAGACTTCTTGTATGCGTCACACAATCGAGCAATAAATCGGGCAAAGATCTAACAACTCATTTCACACAAGCCATCAGCGTTATGCCTGTGACACTGTGATGTTATTCAGACTGAAGTATTTCACTTCAAAAATGTGGAAAAACACAAGTGCTCCTGACAGCTTACTATCTTATAATATGCCACTGACATTAGAGTTATAATCAAAGGTTATGTTTGGCTCCCGAGGCCCTCGTGTTTTTCACCAGGTCCCACTGCTCACAGAAAATCAAGAGTCGCCAAACCTGAAACCCTGTTCCTCAGTACAGCAAAGACAAGGCTGTTTCTAATATGGTCAAAAGACACAATACCTTTGTAGGGAAAATATCATCTACCCTGGCCAAGACAGTCATAATACTGCACCAATAGGAGGCAATGTGCAGAGGATTGGCAATCTGATTCTGTGCAACTTGAACCTCATCTCAACACAGGGCTTAGACAGGACTGGAGAAATGCACGGGCCCTTCACAGGCTGTCTGCACAGAGGAACCTTTATTTGTCCCGTGACCCTTCATGATCCAGCTGATAAAAAGTAATTGCAACAGCTGATTTTCAAGGTCTTTCTCAAAACCACAGAGCCTCCCAAGGAAACAGGGCCTTGACTGCAAAAAGGTTAGCCTACATAAGCTGTTATGGAACTGCAATACAAGCCATCAGCAACTCATGGACTCAGGTCACTGAAAGGATGATAGGGTTGTGCTGAAGTCTGACCCAGGCAAATAGCTTCCTGTTAGGAGAATTTTCAGAAGTATGGTGGGGGAAGAAGGAGGAAAGTTAGCCAGAGAAAAAAAGGCACAGGACAAAGCCAGTGTACTGCATTAGAGGGTTTAGAATGGGGGACACGTGCACATCTTGGCCAAAGTCATTTGCTCGCTCCTCACCTTGGAGTTCTTGGCCCCACTGCGGCCTGACTGAGAGGAACAGCTACGCTGTACACCCTGCTCCGGCGTGGAAGGGGATTTGTCTGATGAGTGGTCTGAGCCTTTTTCCACCATGGCGTCTCCTTGGGAGTCCTGCGGTGTTGGGGACCGGGAGCGTTTGCGCAGGATTGGGGAGCAGGCAGGCGTGCTGCGGTTTGAGTTACTGGCAGTACTGCAGAAAGAAAGAAAGAGCAGGGTTAATAATCTTCAGCTCAAACAGAAAGCAATGCACCCATGCCTTGAGGTGGAGCATTACCCACAGGTTTCTCCACTAGCACAGTGGACAAATCTGGCTCCCTGAAGCAATACACCCAATGCCACACTTAGAACTTATGTCCCCAGTAAAATTAGGCTATAGACAGTTATCATTTACCAGTGGCAGAGGGAACTACAATGGCCTGCCAGTGTCTTTCTCCACCCGCTCTTCAATTCATCTGACCACAGATGAATGCCTACGAGAATGAACTCATTCTCTCCTGTCGGCTCTGAGAGTTTAAAATGATTGATCTGAGCTTAGAAAACCTAAACTTGCACTCAAGAATGAGGGAGATGTCAGTGTGTTCTCAATACAGTCCCACTCTGTCCCTCCTTTATTTTATTTCAGCAAGTGTAACTATTCTCAACAGGATGAACAAAAATGGAATCATATCTTTTAGGAAACACTCCATTAAACATCATCAAAAACGATGGGGCACTGGGAGGGGAGTCATGACGACAGACAATGCAGTCATGATTTCCTGTATCAAATCATCCTTTCCCACACCAGTTAGAGTTGGGCATGAAAATGTTTTGCTATAACATAAAAGCTTTCATGATTCTAAAAGAAAAAAGTTCCCCTTTCATAACGGGGAAAAACAAGACCTTTCAAAGTTTTACAGAAATTATGAAACATTTAGGGGAATGGAACTTTTCATCCCATACCTTCAGGAAATGCCCTAACACCTAAATCAGAAAGCCAGTTACATACATATTTATACAGAACAGGAAAACTCAGATTTCCTCACTGTTTCTTCTCTTTTGATGCCTCTTCTTCCTGCCAGACTCTTCAAAATACCACACGCTACATCAATTTTTCCCTATGCAACTCATTTCCTTCAGCAGTCAAATCTATTTACGACCGGCCCAAACATCTTTGAGGCCTTTCCAGCTGGTACCGTTCAACTCTGCAACCTGCAGGTTACAGTGGAACCTGGGCTGATCCAAGGATGAACTTTGTGCTAACTCTGCCATGCTGAGTTGTTACTGTACCTTGTTATCTTCTGAGCATTAGAAAGCAGGCCACATCTGAGTGACAGAAGAGCAGGCAATAGAAAAAGGATGAGGGAATTACAACTGTAAGGGATTGAATTAAAGAAGCTAGTACAACCAAACTCTTAAGGGCTACAATTTAAGCCCAACTATATAGAGCAAACTTAAGTTTGCTTCTCACAATGGGATGTAAAATGAGGTAGTGAAAATGGATCGTTTCCTTTCTGAAAATCTAGAAAGGTTGAATACATGCCTGAGGTTTCATTAATTCTCAGATAAAAATCATATCCACCTCTTACCTCTTAAGACGCCAAAAACATTTTACAAATGTTAGTTAGCAGATACAGGTAGATAATGTAATACACTCCTCCGTTAGTTAACAGGTTTAGTTTGGTTTGGTTTAGTACTGGATGAACTGGTCTCATAAACTAGCCTCTATTTGCTCTCTGCTTCTGTTAACACACAAGTGATGAAATTTCCCTAAACAATTTGCAGAGAGCATACAACAAAGTTGCTTATGCAAACATTAACAATCAAATTTCACGCTCATACACACAACAAGCTTGCAATTGGCAAGAACAGTAGCACGGCACTTCGCAGAAAACCCTTAGAAGATATTTTCAAGAATATAAAGTGTGGAAGTTCATATAGATAATGAACAGGCTAGAGAAAATGGGTTTGCAAAATGTTCAGTAAGCAGGAAGAAAGATGGATTAAATTACAAACTCCACTGTTACATATTTCTACTTAATAGACAGAGAATCATATAGATATAGAATAATAAAAAGCTGCTTGTTCAAATGCCACCTAAACCCCAAGTTAGCTCCAGTGCGAAGACCAGCAGAGTAATTCTCCCCCTTAGCTTGTTTCTTCACAGTTCACACCTAACAATGGCACATGTCATGAGTGAAATATGCCAACAGCATACTGTGTCCTCCCTTTCCCTGGTCAAGACACAGGAATACTGAATACTAACTACAAGTACAGCACAACTGTAGCAATATTCAAGCTTTAATCCCTCCAAATCATATTTGAAACAAAACAAAAGACTGAGCAAAAGATGATCTGGACCATTCTCCCAGCAGCATTGCCTGCAACAGTTTAGGTATATCATGAAGTAAAATTATCAGGGGTTTTTTTAGCTTATTAAAATGTAATCAGGTTTCTTTGCAGACTTTCAGCTGATCCAGTTAAAAAGGATATTTCACCTTTTCTGTCCTCCTGCTGCTACTTCTTCTGGCTAAACTCAAGACGTACACACTTTAACAACCCAGCATAGTTGCATCTAGTGTACCAATTGCAATCAGCAACTACGTGCGTGCGCAGAAGGTACTAAGACTTGAGTTCATCAGCAATGCTTCCAGAGATGGAAATGGTTTTGAATTGCCATTCCTACAGTTAAGAACTCCGAATTCTGAGGCTGTATTGCTCCTGCTCATGCTGTGTTATTGCTTATCTAGCATTACATCACATTTCCTAAATCTTGCCCCTAGCATGCTTGATTCAACATAAACTGGTTTATGTGAGAGGTCCCCAGAAATACAAGTCAAGAATTTGAAGCCAATGTTCCTGAGTCACATACCACTGCACTAAATTTGTTTGAACAGATGTACTCATTTTTATTCTACAGCTCTACAAAACCTGAGTTTATCATGCGCAACCTCCTTCTCATTTTCAGTTTGTGCGAGTTCATACTCACAAGTTTCACTTTGAGTTTCAGCTTCATGCAACTCTGTAAAAACCAAGCCAAATTCAGCCAAGGTTCTGCTTGCTTTCAGGTTACAGTTATGAAGGAGCACTGAGTTTTTACTGCTTCTGAAGTAAAGCACAAAATAACCAGTTCAAAACCAGGGTACAACTGCACCATGTGCATGTGAAACTCAGATGAAACCTGCTTAAAAGTTCAGCAGTCTTTTACTCAAATTGTAATCAAATGAGAAATGAAACAAATTTTGCCTTTTGTGGACTGCAATAAATACATTAGTACTAGCTACAATATACACTCACTCACACACAGTCATGGAAGACACATTCTGAGTTTTCACGCTCTGAGCACGCACATGCTCCAAAACTGACTTAACACACTTAACGCAGACACTGCTAAGCAGTGTGCAGCTATGGAGGCCAAGTCAAGCTAATCACCCAAGGTCTTACAAAGCTCCTCAGGTGGGTCTTCCAGTCACAGCTGAGTAACTCACGCTGCTGCAGCTACATAGGAACAGCATTAGCATTAACTAGCTTAAAGCTGGCATGTATATGTTTGTCCAGGCTCACTTCACACTACTGTAGCCATATGTTTTGGTGCCAGCTCTGCCAAGCACAATCTCAGGCAGACTCTGGCCTCCAAGTTAGTTTTCCAGTCACTTAGCATCTATGGCATGCTTTAAAAAACTAAATCCATACATACATATTGTGTTAGGTATGTATGGATTATCACCTTTGCAGAGAAGGGGGAAAAAAAAGATAGCTTCAAGGGCGCCTTCTTAGGCTGTCCCATAAGACAGTTGCAGAGAGCTGATCAAACTCAAGAGGTCTGAATCCATCTCATACTATCTGATGACTGGGCAATGCTGAATATTTCTCATATGAAGGACTCCACGGGTGTGCACACAATGAAGAACACGAAGAGTCTGTTAATTCAGCCTTTCATCTCTACCACAGTGAGGATGGGCACAAAAACCACAAGCCTGCAGCTCCGTTCCAGTCGCCTCCCCCTGCCCTGAGCCCCTCAAAACTCTTGCTGCTCCCGCTCCGTCCCTGAAGTTTGAATCCAACCCAAGGCACAGCCATGACGAACGCTTTTTGCAGTTGCCATAGTGACCAAGGCCTGCAATTGAACCAGGAATCAACGTCTGAAATGCCAAAACAGCTTGACCCACTTTGAAAAAAAATAATAGTAATAAATAATGCTTTACAGACCTAATTGACCAGAGCACATTCAGGGCCTCACATACCCCTGCAGTGTAGCCTTTAGTAGATGCAACAAATTAAGTCAGGGATAGAACACAAACAAGCCCACCTAAGCAGCAGCCCCTTGCTCCTAGGTGAAACCCCTGCACAGAGTATAAGAAAGCACAGAAGGCAGAGTACGTCTTCTTGGTTTACGTACATACTGTGCCTAAGAGAAGCACCTTGTCTTACGATTGGAGCTGCAGTAAAAATAACATGAGCAAGTGCGATGTGGCCAGGAAGAGGCCAAACTCTGTTCAGTCACATGGAGGACAAGCCTCGATATCTGGAGCAGCGTAGTGAAGAATTAGCTTTTCTTTAGGTGGTGGAAAAAGAACGAACATTTAGCAATGCACAGACAAGCTACCTGGTCACACCCTACTCGGGACACTCCACAAATCAAGGACGCAAGGCATGACACAAAAAGGCCAAACTTCTTCCTCCAACAGAATATTTCCTGTAAAGATTTGGACCATCTGGTAAACAGACACTTCAACAAGCAGTAGCTTTTGGGAAAGGCTACAGTCTGTACTCCACAAGCTAAGCTTGGGATTCTTACAGCTATAAAGGAACCCTGAGGACTCTTTGCAATGCTCTAATGGAGAACTCAACAAGAAACCTGACTTCGTTCGAGTCTGTTAAATAAATTCTGCATGAATGACGTTCAAGCAGTCCTGAATTGACATGAAAATCTGTCCATCCTACCAGATCTTCCGAAATAATCACTCTGCCTGCCACTACAACACAGCCATGCCCGGGCTTAAGACAAGCACCCTGCAACAGTTCTTTCCCCAATCACACATGCCCCAATAGCCAGCAGCCATCCTCTGAACACAACAGCTTGCCAAAGAGCATTGTCGCAGCACCTGCGGCTACACTGTACAATAGCGTCCTGTTGTTCTCCTCTCAGGTAGTGATACACACAGATTAAGAAGACACGCAGCAAATCTATTTGAATCTGCCAGTTGCAGGATG